CCGCCCTCCGCCCTGCAGAGCTGTGGATCTCCCTGGAGGAGCACCAGGACGCCCTGGAGCTCATAATGAGCAAGTACAGGAAGCAGATGCTGCAGCTGCTGCAGGGGAGGAAGCGGGAAGAGACGGAGCCGGTCTTGGAAGTTCATCAGGATAACTGTGTGGTAAGGGAGCGGGCGGGGGTGATGCCGGGCGCTCTAGTGGTGAGCTGTTCTTCTTCCTTTTGTCCCGTTCCTGTGACAACATACAGGTTGTGGCAATTATCACACGGGCACCGAAGAGCATAAACCTTACAAGGCCCAAGTGATGGTTTGTTGTATGTGTCTTGGGTCTTAAACTCCTTGGGAAGAGCTTAATGTCTCTATTCTCGCTTTACAGGGCATGTGCATCAGTGGTGCTATTGTTACCGTTCAGTAATCATTTATACAAAGGGAGAAGAATCTCCTAAGTCTCTCTAAGCTGCAGTGTGTTAAGTTCTTGAGAAATCATCACTTCAAAGCAATCAAGATCCTTGGTGCAACAGTATAAAAGTGTGCCCAAAAGCCTGCCTTCCTCCTCGTCAGGTGCCGTGATCTCGCTCTGAGATGTGCATCGAGATAACCCCTGCCTGTTTTACATTTAAGTGTCTACAAATAACAACATTGAAAATCTGATTATCTTTTACAGTTAAAGCTTGGATTTTACTAAAATACATGTATATGAGCGATTAGAAAACAGCAAGTTTGTTTGCCCTGGTCAGATCTTTTATTTGCTGCTGTTCTTCAATTGGATCTTGAACCATCCTAAATCTTTGTGCTGATAATGTGACAATTCGTTGCCTCTGTGTGTTGCTTGGTTCTTCAGAAGTTACATTTTTTCTAGTACTGCAAAAATGCCTCCATTTCAGTGCCTCACAATGCTATCTGCATAATGACTGTATCATCTGCACTTGAATCTGTTGTTTTAGTCCTTGTCAGAGTGCAAACAATTTCCTTCTTAGTATGTAATGGTGCCTTATATCTTGCTGACTGATGCAATTCTGTTATACTTTTCAGTGATGTTTCATGATTGCTGAAGTAAAGGTGCATTTATCATCTTAAAATAATTTGGAAAGGATTAAAAAGTGTTTTGAAGGAGAGGATTACAATTAAAGAAAGGAAACGAGTATAAAATCACGATTTTAAAAAAAGATTCATAAGGATAGTGAACTATTGCTTTTGCTCGAATGTATTGAATATATTGTTTTTTATGTCTTTCAGGAAATTGAAAGTCAAATAAACAGAATATTTGAGATGGGAGAAGTGATGAGAAAAGCTGTTCAAGTTGATGATGATCAGTTCTTTAAAGTTCAAGAGAAACTAGCTCAGTTGGAGGTAAGAGGTGGTATAATTGCTAAGGTTAGATCCAGGGTGTTTTAAAGATTATATTCTTTTTAGTGTGAAGTAGATCTTTTTTGTTTCAGCAAAAATACTGATTTTTGCAGCTTGAAAACAAAGAACTCCGTGAACTTTTGTCAATCAGCAAAGAATCTATTGAGGTGGGAAAAGAAGATCTGCCTGATGGTGACGCTCAGGTCACAAAATAATTCAGTTTCCAAGAATACCAGGAATTGATCCAAGGAAGGATGGTTGGTGTTTTGTTCTTTTAGGTGCTTCCTTGTATGTATGTTTTATCTTTAAATATGTGTGGCCTATTTTCTCAGCATTTTTTTCTGGAAATATATGCTGTGATGGCAAATGCTTGTGTTGCCAGTCAGCAAGTGCAGCATATAAATGTTTAAAAAAGAAGTGTTTGCGATGATCTCCTTTGCGATAGTTTATTTTGTCTCATAAATGTTGATTTGGATTAACTTCAAGAATTCCATCTATGCAGACAGCATTTTAATTATTTCATTTGATAGAAACGAGATTATTTGAAAATCATATTGGAAATGGCAGGCACATACTTTGCTTTCCTGAATACCTAACATAACTTGGCTGGGTTAACATTCTTACTGGGAAATAAACAGTTTATTAGAAGCAGATCAGGAGAGTAGCAGATAATAGTGCATTTCAATTACTCAGTTAGTAACTTGTATAAGGGACATACTTTGCCTTGATTTAGCAGGGAAAATCCGAATGAACAGCCCTTTCTGACACCTCTGCATATCAGTGTACTGTATTTGCCCAGTGTTGTGTTTTTTTATGTGAGTAAACCCATTCTGGCTCTATCTGTGCTGCAGGGTGTGTGGATATTGGATAGCTCTGGTCAGAGGCTCTTTTCTCAAGACAATAAAGTGAGACCTGCAGAGAACACAACACTCAGATCAGAGCTGTCTGGCTTCCCGCTAAGCTTTGGGCCTCAGGAAGGGTGAGCTCAAGTCGGGCTCAAAACAATTAAACCAAAACCAACCATATAAACATGTTTTTAGTATTATATCACAGGTAAGTGTAATGGCAGGTGTTACATAGTTGCTGTAAAATCTCATATAGAGTTAACCTTAGACTTGCAGTTTTTAAGAATTTGTCAATATTGCAGTATTTTATATATAAATATTTGTCTTTCTTAGTGGTGATCAAAAGATGATCCTTCACAAACATGAAGTCTCTCATTTCCAGCATTAAAGTGCTAAGCCATTCTTTCCCAAGAGATAATTTTGGTAAATGCAGAAGGTGATTTAGATCTGGGGCCTAAGACACAAAGAAAAATTAGGTGGCATTTCTTTGCCATCATTTGGAACACACGGAAACATGCTCTGGTAGATAAGAGGGTCATCTGTACAGGAATATCCTTATATATATATATATTTTTACTTTATTTTTTTAAATAGGGAATAAAAGTAAGTGTGGGTAGTCTTTTCTCAAGTGTGTTCAGTTGTATGAATCCTGGTGGTAATTCAGCCTTTGTAAGCTGCTCTGCATTGACCTTGTCTGCGCAGTGAAGCCCTCTCGGTCCCCGCATTTCTTTGCGGTTAGCAGCAGTGCAGCTCTGCGTACGGTGCTTGGGGGGGCTCCGTGTCCAGTGAGACGGTCGCGGTGCAAACCCAAAAACGGCTCCTACAGAGCAGCTCAGGGCACATGAGGGTTAGGCGGAGCTGACGGCTCAAGGTTCGTCCGCCCCTCATCCCTGTGGCTCCGTAACCGCGGCCCGGGGTGCTACTTGAAGGGGTTGCGGGGCTGCTCCCCAC